GAATAATTTAATTCCTTTTAATTGAATCAAAGCGCTTTCCTTTTATTTCTAATATCATAATTTAAAAGAAAACTTTTGTGACATCTTCCCATTGTGTCACAAGGGATGGGTATGGTGGGTTTAACACTCTTGGTTTCCTCTTTGAAAGGACAATGGTGGTTCGCTATCAAAAAATTCTCGTTGTGCTCTCCTGTCTTCTCTTTCCTCTTCTTTATTTTTAGTCATATATATATTTTGCCTAAATTTCTCCTCCAAAGTTCTCGAATAAGAATTCAAATATAAATTAAGAATTCACTGTTCGATTATATTCATCCTTACCAGCCGCTTATTCGCATTGCATGTTCCTAGTGAATGGAGTATGGGTTGCTTCCTCTTTTATTCCGAAAAATTTTGTTGTCAAGGAATCTTACTCTTTGGATCCTAAGCAAATAGGCTTAGCATCAATATATTCGTATTTGTACGTACACATATAAGGGAAAGTGAAAAAGAAAGAATATGGCTTCTAGAAAGCCTCAATTGCTGAATCCAGCAATGTTCGTCATTCTATGCCTCCTTTCACTGAGTCTTTTTGACTGCTCGGTGTTTGTGCCGAGTATCCCCGCCACAATGCCAAAGATCATCGATATTTTATCCCACTATGGGACGACTTACGATTGTGAGGTTTGTGGTGCGGTTCTGGAGGGTATCGATATTATGCAGCATGCGGCATTGAATTCAATGAAGAGCGGCGTGTCTCTTATAAAACCTCCTAACGTAGGATCAGGAGTTCAAAAATGCTTTGATCTACAGCATGCGACACTTAAATATCCGAGTGGTGCTAAAGTTGAGTTCAGCCATGAAATGCACCACTACTGCCACAACATATTGGAGTGGACGCTCCATCTGTTCGAGACTAGCAATAACAAGAACGACGCCATAGTCTCGTTCGTATGGAAAAATCATGCTCTTCTTTGCTTTTATATTGTTCAGCAGATGCCGAAAGCTAATCGTGCCTTCTTTAAGAATAAACAGAATATGTGTACACCAAAGCAGTGCATCGCTTCATTGAAGGGGGAGGAAGACAGCATCACTTTTCAGTTTCCGGAGCCTTCGCAGGTGAGCAGATCTTCCTATACGATTCCGTTATACACCTACACGTGGTTTCTGCGATACCCGTTGAATGCAGCACATCAAGAACGGTGTCATCAATTCTGTGAGGCGACTCTGAACCTAAAGGAACGTGTGCAATTGTTCCTATGGAGGCTGTTGGTGGTCTGCAATGTGCACCACATTTTATATGCGTGCCGACACATCTATCCATGGCTTGTTCGGACCCTGGCTGTCCTGACGTTTCTCTTCTCTCGGGCTATTGGAAACTATGGCCCTATGAATATGTATCCTCCAAAGTCAAAAGACTTGGATGTTTCGCAGCCTGGGCTCAAGGATAGCGTGTCGCGCAGCGATCGTAATGGAATCTCAATGAGAGGGTCTAACTCTCTTAATCAGGTGAATGGAAATCAAGCGAGCGGCTCTAATTTTGCATACCATCTTGACACCTACTACCAGACTCGATCGAGCCAGACTTCGAAGCGAAAGAAAAGATAAGAACCTCACTTGTATGGGAGGAGTGTTTCTTTCTGTTGTTTCAGCGGTAGTACATACATTCTGTTTTGATTTTGGATTTTTTATTTCGAGGTGTATTTATTGCTAAGGTTTATTGGTTTGAACATGAGGCTTAATTTTATACTCAATAGAAATTGAGATGTACATCACTACAATCGTTTCATGTGGATTAATGGGGGCAAACTTGGCCCTTATGGATACACATAGCTGTAGGGATGTCAAATCGGCAGGAATATTGAAAATATTTTATTCCTCTTTTACCTATATTCATATGTTTTACTTATGCAAATAATATAAAGTCAGATATCCATAACTTTGTTCTCTACGTATTTTCCCAACAAAATCAGTTTAGCGAAAAGCTATTGTTAAAAAAGGACAAAACAAGCCTGCATACAGCGGGGCTCACGTGTCAACAAATGGGGAATTAAATCAGAATTACACATACGATATCGATATAACGTTTAACGAATTTCTCGCGCTATCGTCCAAAGAGAAGGATGGGCCTGCTTTGTTGTGTATTTACTCTCTTATTTCTTCGTTTTCCTAGTCAACAAGGAACCACCAAGCACCGTTGCCTTTTTGCACATCATTTTCACCATTTCTCTTTGTTTGCGTCTTCCTTTTTGTTTGAGTTTAGTGCATGCCGACGGTGCATATCTTCGTCGGGCAGTGCGGGAATCAGCTGGGGCCGACCTTCTTAGACGTCTTAGCCACCGAGGCGCAGTCCAGCGGCGATGAGGCGTATCAGATGCTCGTCTCGGACGACCACTTCCGGCGGCATCCCGCGCCCCTCGCGACCCCTCGGCCGTGCGTCGAGCTCGCCAGCCTCCCGCAGCCGCGCTGTGTGATGGTGGATATGGAGCCAAAGGTGATGGAGCGGGCGATCGCGCGGGTGAACGGCCGCGTTTCCGACCCCCCTTCTTCCTCCCTTTCGTCCTCGTCGCCGCCGCGGTATTGGCTTTCCCCGCAGCAGTGTGTGAGTCGTGGGGAGGGGAGTGGGAATAACTGGGCGTTTGGGTATCACCACCAGGGCCGGAGTCGGCGCGAGGCGCTCGCGGAGAGCCTCCGGCGGGAGGCCGAGGTGTGCGAGGCCGGGGTCGGGCTCCTCCACGTCGTGCACAGCGCGGCCGGGGGCACCGGATCGGGCGTCGGCTGTCTCGTTGGCGAGGTCGCGCGGGAGCTTTTCCCCCGCGCGGCGCTCACGCACACCGTGGTGTGGCCCTTCACCCACGGCGAGGTCGTCCCGCAGGGGCTGAACCTCACCCTCTGCCTCGCCACCCTCCGCGAGCTCGTCGACGGGGCGTTTCTCGCGTTTAATGACGTCCTCGGGGAGGATCTGCGGCGGGCGCAAGGGGATCCCGCCTCCGCGCCCGCCACCGCGACCGACGGGGTCTCGTTTGAGGCCCTGAACACCCGCATCGGGCGGCTTCTCGCGCCATTGTTTCTCCCACACGGGCTCTACGAAATCCCGCGGCCGATGCGCGATCTCGGAAAGCACCGCATCGCGGAAAGTCCCGCGGCGAAGGAGCTGCGGGCGCGGGCGGGGGACGCCCCGCGGCGGCTTCGCTCCGCCGGCTACGCGGACGTCCTCGAGGGCCTCTGCCTCGACCCCGCGCGGAAATTCTTCACCGGCGTGCAGCTCCCTCCGGAGCGGATCGTCGGGCACCCCTCCCCGACGACCTGGAGCTCCGTCCTCCTCGAGGCCGCTCGCCGCGTCGACGAGGCCTTCACCGGTCCGGGCGGGTTTCCTTCCTCGTCTTCGTTTTTTCCTTCCGGCGCGCCCTTCGCGATGGGGAGTCGGAGTTGCGTGTGGGCGCTGCGGGGGTACGACGTCCGCCGGGAGGGCCTCCGGGAGCTTCAGGACCTCATGGCGAGCCGCCTTCCTGGCGGGTTCCCCCTCACGACGCTCCTCGTGAGCCCGCACGAGCGGAACGACGCCGCGTGGTACGCGCGGGCCGATCACGAGGTGAGTTTGTACGGCCACACCCCCGTCATCCCGCGCGCCCTCGCCGAGGCGCTGCGGAAGGTGGAGGATCACCTCCGCGTCGGGGCTTTTCTCCATCATTTTGAGCGCTTCGGCGTGGAAAAGGCAACGATAGAGGAGGCAACAATGAAGTTGTGGGATACGGTTGCGGCGTACGACGCCAGTCTGGTTCATTCGTGATCTCCATCCTGAAGCGAATGTTAGAAAACAAACACCCTCAAAAAAAAACTATAAACGGACCTATCGAGTCATGTTCATGAAACGATAACCTTTTACAACTTTACACTACTCTTCCCCGATGCTCACTACTTTTCTTTTTATCGTTTTTCTTTTCCTTGCCTTTTAGAAAAGATCCCTAAAAGTCCTAAAACAAGAAAGCGTGGTTTTATTTTAAACCTTAGAGTTCTTTTTATTTTACCGTTTTTTTTTTGTAATAAACACTGTAGTAAATTTGGGAAGACCCTCGTTGATTATTGCTAACTCTGTTCTCCTCGAAAAAAAAACGACAGGATAAGTATATAAGCTGTTGTTTGTTGTATACACATCTTTCAGGTCTCGTTGTGAAAAAATACGACCTGAAGTAAATAAATAAACATTATATACATACATATATA